TTTTTTTTTTTTTGGCTCTTTTAGCTTTTGCCAATTCACAGATTTTGCATTCAAACATGACTGTTCTTTTGAAAATTTCAAAACTTCTCTCTCTTTGAGATCTTAAAGAGTTATATTTGAGCTTTTTTCTTCTTTTAACATTGAGAGGTCTGATGTCTTATTTTGTTTGGAAATTAACCGAACAGAATTGGTAATTTTCCATAAAAATATATTTTGAAGTTATTCATTCTTTGCGTTTTTTCTTCCTTTTTCGTACTTATTTTATATTCTTAGGACTTCTTAAATTTGATTATTTTTTGTCTTTACATCTTCTTCTCATTATTATGTTTTCTGTTCTTTTTAATTCAATTATACCGCTTTATGTAATGCTGCTTGACTACGGGTTACGAAAAAAAAGTGGTCTTATTTTTTGTGCAAGTAACTTGTTCTTCTGCCCCTTTTTTCGTTTTTTTATTTTTTATTTTTTTGTTTTTGATATCGCTGTTTATTTAGTTTACTCCAACAAAAAAAATAATGGACGAGAACCCTCCAAAGTATGCTGTTGGACCGATGGGCTCTCGTTATATGCCTCCGCCTGTCGGATATCCTAATGTACAATATACAAATGAACCTGTTCAACAGATGCAGTATTATCCTCCACAAGTAGGTTTGGTTACTACTAGCACTTATTCGAGATTTTGAAAAAAACTAAGCTTTTTTTAATAGAAAACTGCCGGTTAAGTATGATGTTTATTAAGCCTTTTTAGCCTCACCCGCATACGGTTACACCACAGGAAGCTGCTATAGCAAAATTGGAGAATTCACTGTCGAGTATGGAGGAACAGCATATGGTAAATGATCCACGGTACTCCCAAATGCTTATGATCAAGCACAAAGTCGCTGGTAATTAAAATTCTCGTTTAGAAAGAACATATTGAGTTCATTCCTTGGGTGGGCTTTTTAACTTGTTAACAACCCATTTTTCAATTGTTAAGGCGTATCGCCGGCAACAGATGCTCACATAAAAGAAGATGCAATGGAAACTGAGGCATCATTGCACAGTTCACTAACGATGGAACAAATGGCACAGTTGAGAGCGCAGGCAACTTATTTCTTATAATTTGTAATTTTTTCTAGGAGTTATGGTTTTTGAAACAGTAATTCGTCTTTCAAAATAGTATTAATAGTCTTCTGTACTTTTTAGCTCTGGCGCATTTTTTTAACACCATTTTTTTTTTTTTTGTTGAGGTCAAAAGTATATCAACTTTTTGTGGTTTGCCTTAACTTTATATATTGCAGATTGGCGCTTACAAACAGCTAGCCAGGCAGGAACCTTTAGCACCGAATCTTATGGCTGCTGTTACGAATAGACCTATACATCGGTTAACTACCCTTTTACCAAGACCGTATGACTGCCCTGCCGAGGGAAAAAATGGAGAAAAGCTACCATATGACTTAATGAAAATACTTTCATTACATCAGCAGCGAGCTAACAAAGTCACCTCTGTACTTCCCCCTGCTGGAATTGATCCAGTTGCTCTCTTGAAAGAACGGGAAAACAGGTTTTTGATTTACTGTGTTAAAAATTTTTTAGTTTTATGGGAACTGTTTGTTTTGTCGAAAAAACACATTTACTTTTTATACTTATCAGATTTTTCCTACAGTCCTGGTTACTTTGCAAATGACGGCTTAACGGATGTTTTAGGATACAGAATCGAATTGGTGCTCGAATAGCACTTCTTTCAAATTTGCCTGCAAATATTAGTAACTATCTTCGCACTAAAGCTGAAATTGAGCTCAGATCACTTCGTCTTTTGAATTTGCAGACTCAGGTTGGTTGTTTTATTTCATTTTTTTCTTAACTGAGGAGAAAAGGGCATTGTGGTATTGCTGCTTGAAATTTATATACCTTTTGTTTGCGTAGTTCATGTACCTCCAGTAATTAATTGTGGTAATTTTTACAGATTCGATCTGAAATAGTAAGTCAGCTTAAAAAGGATACGACACTTGAAACAGCCCTCAACCCTAATGCTTTCCGAAGGACGAAGAAGCAAGCATTAAGGGAGGCACGGGTCACTGAAAAGTTAGAGAAACAGCAGAAGGTTAGTTCTTATTGTATTCTGTCTAGCAGTTAGGACTTTTTCAAATTTTCGGTCTTATTTTGCCCATTTCCTCACGAGATTTCTTAAGGCACAACAAGAACAAAGAAGGAAACAGAAGCATTACGACTTTTTACAAGCCGTTATACAACATGGAAAGGAGTTTAAGGAATATCACCGTAATAATCAGGTAGTTTGGTTAAATAAAGTTCCATCTGGTTTGCTTGAGTCTAGGTTAGAAGAATTGTTGTCTTCTTTTTTTTAAAGGTAAAACTCAGTAAAGTCAAAAAAGCTGTTATGACTTACCACGCAAATAACGAAAAAGAGAGGAAGAAAGACGAGTTAAGAAACGAAAAGATGCGTATGCAGAAACTCATGCAGGAGGATGAGGAAGGCTATCGGTTGGTTTCATTTTTTTGTTGTTTAATCTGGTTTTGGCTATTTAGCTTTTCTTAATACTTCCGAGGTCAAAGGCGTTTGGATCAAAATATAATATCAAATGACTTAGGCAACTTCTGGATGAGAAGAAGGATAAGAGATTGGTATTTCTCTTGCAACAGACAGATGAATATGTAGAAAGTCTTACTGGATTAGTTAAGCAGCACCAGGCTACAGAGAAACGTCGGAAGCGATTGGAA